AGAAACCCTATCGGCTATAATTAATGATAAATATAAATCAAATCCGTAATTATCTCTAACTAATATAATCGTAATTATCTCTAACTAATATAATCAACCGGCTAAGAAACATGGCATCAGAGATGAGAATTCCGCCATAACACGTCCCCAAGGCATGCCTTTTAGAACACTGCATAGAACTACAAGACCTATACTAATTTGGATTAACCATACCTTACAAGAGATCTACACTAATGTACATCTAATCACTAGAGAAGAATTTGTCAATATTTTGGGGAACTTTTAACAGCAAGACTAATATATGGAGGAAAGCTTTGAAAAGTAAACTTGCCGATAGCTGAAAAAGTAAACCCATAGCTTCTAAAAGTACCGAATATAATCTTCTACTTGTTCCTTCACCATAAGACAAGATGTACAAAACATGTTCTAGCAAGATCATAACCTTCTAGAGTTCTAATTGTCCTTCACCATAAGACAATCACAACAGAGAATTCACTACACATGCATTAGCAAAATCACGATACATATTCTGTTGACTTGTATTCTTGACCATGCTTAGAGTCAACACCTTATTTGTATAGGATAGACAATGGATATCAAGGGGAACTCTGCAATTCTAGAATACTAGTAAATTGCCAACAACTAGCCATTCCAAATAAAATAAGGCAGTACGTTATAGTTTAAGCCAAGAACATAACATAACTCACCTTCAAATTTGTAGCATATAAGATGAGTAACCCTGTTTGCTATCAGTGGTTTTGAAAAATGTGCACCCATCAGTTCAACCATGGTCTGAAATATAAAACATGATAAAATTTTCTGAGAATGTCCATTATCTTGTTTAACAAGAATGCAAGTATAGGTAGCTGATAAAAAAATATAGGCACACCATAATGTCCTCCCGATCTTCGCGCTGATATCCTGTTAAACATATAACCAATGACTTTGCACCTGTAATGCCATTCAAGTCTCTCACTGGTTTGTACATTACCTGTTAGAAGGTGCAAAAATTATCGTATTTTTTAAAAGGAAAAAAAATCAAGTTTATTGCATTAATCAACATTATAACAAGAGTAAGCTAGATGATCAATTACAACCTATTAATTAATCCTGTACAAAGTTTAGCAATTTAAGCTTGAAACGACAATAAGATTTGTTGCTGGTACTTTTCACCTCCTAAAAACAGCACATAATAAGCACCCCTCCCTTTTCATTTCTCAAAAAGTTTCTAATAACTAATTTTGTGTATGTAGGCCGGCAGGGTAAAAACCACATGAAAGTGAATCGAATCGGGGTACTGACCGAGGTTGTATCCACAGGTACTCCCACGTCAAAACTATGATCAACCCATAAGCCAGAGACTAATATCTTTCCATCTCGCCTAGCAGCAACACATATGGGATCATCCTGAAACATGAAACACACAGCTAAGCTGTAGGCTTTAGGCTGTAGTAACAGTCATAAGAGGTTGTAGAACACAATGTAATAACACAAACATAAACAAGAAACACTCCAACGCAAGGATGAAGCCTGAAGTTGACAAGGAAAAAAACATGAAAATACAAATTGGAGGAATCAGGGAAGGTGACATATAAACCGGAGTAGTAGATTTACATAGGTAAGCTTATCGACAATAACATGAGTGCAATTAGGACCATATTGACTAGCATCAACCCCACCGCCATTAACAAGCTTCCGTAAAACCTGAAAATATAATTCAAAATCAAACCAAGCGTTAGGTTCAGGTTCGAATTTCTTCGGATAACCCTTCCGGGTCATTAAATTAAAAAAAAGAACACTGTTGTAAGAGGGGTAAAGTCCAACAACAAAAGCACCGTCCAATTATAAGGGATAAAACACAATCATTGATCCATTCTACAGAGCAATATCAAAATATGCAGAAAACAATAAACAAAAAAAGAAGAAGAAAAGATTCTTCGAACCTCAGGCTTTTTGAGTGGATCGAAACCAAGAAGAAGAAAGCGGATGCCATGGAAGACTTGAGAAGGTCGGCCAAATGGGGAACTTTGAGTGTTTTCCATGGCTATTACCAATGTTTCCCACGGATGTCAGAAAAGGCGTGGTGGTTTGACTGAAATCTGGAAGATTAATGGCGAAGAAATTAGAGGTCATTCAGCGATGAGATGGATGGAAGTGAATGAACCAGCACTGGTTATACGACGAGAAATGAAATGGAAAACTTGTCGAGGAAGGAGTTGGAGTTGGAGTTGGAAGGGATTAGATGACGGCGAGGGGTAAAAATGGGATTTCACTCACATTCGTTTTCTTTGATTTGGAGCAGGGGGCGGGAGGAAGATCCCGCCGCTTAGGCGAAATGCAAAATTTTACTACACGTGGCGCTTCAATGCTTTTATGGGCTTGGGCCGTGCATACATAGTCATACACATACGGATTGGGCTTTAATTAAACTATGATAGTCTCTCTTGACTTGATAGTTGATTACTTGATTACTTGATTTTATATATATATATATATATATATATATATATATATA